ATAAAAAAAATGAACAATGGAATAAACAACGTCAAAAATCGAGTCCCGTGCAGAAAAATATGCCCCAAACAAGTTCGGCGACAACCGGGGCCAAAAACCCTAAAACTGGGGAAAATGACCGAAAAGAAATTCTAAGAGTACATGACTCGATGAAAAGTGAAAATGAATCCCGTACAAGGATTCAGGCTCAAAACGAGGCATTTTGCAATAATTTTCGTTAATTGCACAATGGCCCCTACAAAAAGGGATAACTACAAAACTACCCAGAATGAAAATATCTTTCAAAAGATATTTTCTTAAAAATCCTTAATCAAAATATCTCCAAAATATATTTATGAAAAACACTCCAAGAAACATCAATGTTTTAGAAAAATCCTTTCATCCATGCCCCTATGGAAGAAAGAAACAGCTGGCGTGCTTTTCTCCAAAAGTAAAGCTACGCGTTTCGAGGAAATCAATTGGAGTGAAAACTCGTGAAGTCAAAACTCAACTCCGAACACGGAAAGTGGGGTTATGCCAACAAAGTGACTAACGAAAAAAGGATGAAAAGTCAATAGTGTCAAAAAAATATGAAAATGTGGAAATGACTCGGTCAACTTGTCAATCCAAAGGAAAGAGTCTCGGAAACTATTTCTGAGCACTCGAGACGATACTAAGTGATAAGTAATCGAACTCAGAAAAGAAAATTCAACGGAAAAAATTTATCCATAAAATTTCAGAAAAAGGAAAGGAAGGAAAATGATCGGGTCATTACACACACACACATATCCACCCTTCACTTGTCACTAATCTAGGCATCCTCACAAAGTTTGATCAAGGCTTTACACTTGACACCAATTTAGACTTCCAAGTGTATCCAATGGAAAGACAAATGGGCCAATGGGAGAGTGTCACTTGTCAATCTTTTTCCCAAATTGCAACTTAGCCCCTACACAAAATATCTTAAAGAATAATTACACAAAAGTCCCTAAGGCAAAATATCTCAAAAATATAATTACACAAAACACCTCAAAAAACGAAAATGTTTCCGAAGAAACCATGCATCCATACCCCTGGAAATAAAAAAATAAATGAGCATGCTTTACAATGAAAATAAGACATACGCGGGCAATAAAAGATAATATAATGCAATGCACGTGGTGCCGGAAATCAGTTCCGAACACTGAAGCCTACCTCGGGCGCAACAAAACCCTAAGACAACGTGGAAAAAGAATAAATCAAACACTTAAATAACTAACTAAATAATTAAATAAAAAGAAATGAATGACGAAAAATCAGAGAAGGAAAAAGAAGACACGGTCTTCACATATTTACTTATTAAAAGGTAAGCTAATTAAAGCTCTTAAAACTTGCTACACTATTAAAAAGGCAAGTTTGTTTGTTTGAAGCCCATAAATGTCAACTCCCTTGTTAAAAGTGGAGAAAGAGGCAATCATGCAATGCTTGGAATGAAAAGAACATAATATGATGATACAATAGTCATGAAGCTTCTAAAAACGTGTCAGCATTCCTGATACTTGATAAGTAAGTTCGGGAATGGGGGGCAACTGATAAGGATAAAATGTTAGGTTGATCAATTTAAATTTGAATGGTGGTCTTCAAAATTCGAAGTATTACCAATGGTTAAAGAAGATAAGAATGAAATGATACTACATCAGTAAATCTCTCTTTGATAACCGATTCAAATCAGTAGACCAACTATAAATGACAAGTTGGTGAATTGGCAAGGTATGAGAAAAATAAATATTAATTTCCTACTTTTATTATTGAGTTCTAACGACTGACTTGATCGTCGGAGAGTTCTTGGCAGGCACCACACCGGTGTTAGTCAAGATCCCTTTTGTATTGCAGGGATACGGTGTCGGTTCAGGTCCTGCTGAATTTTGCATCAACAATTTGGATAAAGTTTTCTCTTCTCAATATCTAATATATGTTTATAGGGTCTGTTTTGGAGGCTATATTGACTGGACAATATGTGCAATAGGGTAAATGATTCTTAATTATTTCTATATGTTTAAGGAAGTTGAGGACATAACTAACCTTTACATTGTGAAGTTGATGTGATATATATATATATATATATATATATATTAAAGATTTTTTCTAAAAAATATGGGATTGTGCTTGGTTCTTAGGATGTCCCACGTGAATGTCTTGATGGTTGCCATTTTTGTCTTATGATTAATAGTCTTTATTACTATTTTTATTTACAAATTACTCACGCAATACTCTTATGTTGCATTTGGTGTGTAAGAATGAAATAGAATGAAATGCAAATGAGAATGAAATGATAATGAGAATGAAATGATAATGAGAATGAAATGGTCATTCTTATTCTATTGTTTGGTTACAAGTATGAAATATATCGGAATGGACTAATGTAAAATTTAGAAAATAATGAATTTCAAATTGAATTCTCCAAAATACTCCTATAAGTGACAAATAATTTATATTGACAAAATAACATTCTTCTATATTTTTGTTTACAAGAAATGGCAATGGTGGTTGCTGGTGGTGGAGCTGGAAAGCGGTAGTGGTGTAGGTGGTGGTGTTGGAGGCGACGACGATGGTGGCAAAAAGCAGCTGGGTGATGGTAGAAGGTAGTGATAGTGGCGGTGGCAGTGGTGGTAATAGTGGAAGACGTTAGTAGTGTAAGTGATGATGGTGGAAGGCAATGGCAGTTGTGTAGTGATGGTGGAAGACGATAGTGGTGTAGGTGGTGGTGGAAGGTAGTGGTGGTGGTGGTGGAAGACTACAATGGAGGTGGCGGTGGTGGAAGGTTGTAATACCCTTAATTTTTAAAGAATTTTGTTGTAAGCTTAGATAAACCACTCGCAAGTGTACAAATCTTTGCAGATAGGGCTTCTTGTAGGGGTGTCGTATCCAAGAGACTTGTATTAATTAAGTTGTTAACAGATTTCTTAAATTCTAAATTAATTTGAAATAGGACAAACAAGTTTTGATGATTTAATCTAATGAACTAAAATAGAATATTAAATTAAAAGGAATAATTAAATTAGATGAATAAAATATGAGAGAAGAGACTAGGGACATGATTTCACCACTAACGTTGTACTACTAATCAATTGTATCAATTTATTGGAGAGATATGAAACATGCATAAGAAATTAATCATGGTTACACGCACGTATTAATTCAGTTAGAAGATAATATAAAATTAAAACTAAGTATGAACTATCTTCGATTAGCATAAACCATCTACCTAATTATTTTACTCTATGATATAGTATGATATATCTTCTTTCAGTATAATCCATCAAAATTCTAAAATTATATTTAATGAAAAATCATTGTATACCCATCTCATCTACAATTATAAAAAGTAAATCTGTTGTGTTCAGTCACAAGAATTAAAAACCTAAGAGAACTCCCTGTCCTTGTAATTAGTCTTTTTCTTTGGATATATTGGAACTCTCATAAATTCCTAATTTTTAAATGGTTATTTTGAGGGGATGTTTTTTAGTTCAGGTAAATGGACAGAGTTTAAGAATTCTCTTGAAGCTGGTGCAGGTACTTGTAAGGTCGGTTGGTGGATTTATGAATAAAATCTAGATTGGTAATAAATAAATAAATAATAATTAAAATTGTAAATTTATGCACTATTTGATATAAAATAATTTTTTTTTTAGACAAATAAACTTTTGGATTACTCTTTCAGAATGATATATATACATATTTTTTATTGTAATATATTTTGAAGTGTGACTTTTTTTTTTTTTTTTTTCTTTTCTTTCTCTGGTTTGAAGTGGGTGATAGTATTTCTTTTGATTTGGATCTCTTTTGTATTTTTATATTCCTTTCTTTTTCAGCTTTCATTTTCTGTGAAGGATATTCTGTGTTTTCATTTAATGCGTGGACGTGCACGATCTTGCATTATTTAGACGTGGCAGCAAATGAGTGGGTGGAATCAAATTACTTCGATTTTGGCTACACACTTTTACACCACAAACATGAGAAGTGTTGTATTTCCACGGCTTTATCTCTGGCCCCTGACTATGTCTCCTCATCCTCACAAAATATGTGGTTACGAAAAATGAAGTAAGAATAAAACTTTATTTTTTTTTTTGGAATTTTAGCCTCTCGCATCAATGAAAATCAACGCTCAACATTTTCATTTTATTTATTTCTCTTTCTTTATTATTATTCATCTTTCTTAATTGAGCAAAGTCCATTAGAATGTTTTTTTTTTTTTTTGGTTGGCACCAGAAACTCCCTTGGGTAGGCCCCTTCAAGTTCCACTTTAGGCTACAAATATGAGAACGTTGTCGACGATCTCATACCTCAGCACCAACTTTTAAGGAATATAATAGGAATGGTCAGACTCGAACATGATACATATGACAACCAGACTGTTGTCTTATCAACTCTATCAAGTCCCTGGGACATTTTTTTACAATATCTAATGATAAACTTAAACTGAAATTAAAAAAACACTTCCTAATTTAAAATGATAAATTATAGCATGCTGAAATTAGAAAAACACTTCCCGATTTAAAATGAAAATATGCCCCGCTTGTAAAATAAAATTTGTAAAAGAATTAATTTTTATTGAAATAGGGTAAACTAAAATTGATTTGAAATTAGATTCAGAATGTAACGTGATCGAGTCATTCCCAGCTTCTGAGGCTTTGTTAATAAAATTAAATTTTAAATCAAAAGCTGATCACGTTAATTATGCTGAAATTTAACGGTAATAAACTTTGGCCGTTTAAAAAATATATGGTTTTAGAAAGTAGATTGGTAGAAATAAAACAATTGAAATTTTTTGTAATTTTTGGTTACCAAAAATCAGTGGAACAATTTTATAAACGACAGTTACTTCAAATATTTTAGAAAACTAATCACTTAATCCAAAATTCACTGAGCTCTATTTTGGTAAATATAATCCATTATATCCTGAAAACAAGTGGTATACCGTATACATAGTGATTTATATATATTGTGTATGTATATATATATATTTAATAATTACTGATATATACTCTTATTTCCTACGTTTCTATTCCATGACTGATTGAGAGAGAGTAAGAGAGAGAGCCCCTGAGACTGGAGAAGGAACTTCTCTTCCACCTTCACCACCCTAAAGAGAAATTCACTTTTCATATCTGCTTCTCTCTCCCCTAATTTCCCACACTTTCCCACCAGCCAAACATGGACTTAGCCACTAAGCTTCAATGCATCGACCTCCGTTCGACGTTCCTCACTGGTACAGCCCTTTTAGATGCTCGCAAAACCAGTCTCCGACCACGTCTCCGCCCAATTTCAGCCACTCAATCAATTACAGGTAACAATTGTTCCATCAGAACCAGTAATTTCTTTAGCACTAGACAACCAAAAATCCCTAGAATATTAGCCAATTTATCTGCGGTCGCTGTTGAAACATCAGTCGTGGAAACTAACGTCGAGGACGATATCGAATCGCTGTTTTCGGAGAATTCAGTGGATAAAACTGACTATAAGCGTATGAATAAGCAATCGAATAGGGGTGCTTCGAGTATATCATCGGGCGTTAGGTTAGAAAATGTGAGCAAGAGCTATAAGGGTGTGACTGTATTGAAAGATGTGACCTGGGAAGTGAAGAAAGGCGAAAAAGTAGGGTTAGTAGGTGTTAATGGTGCTGGAAAGACAACCCAGATGAGAATTATTGCTGGTCAAGAAGGACCCGATTCCGGAAATGTAATTAAGGCAAAACCCAATATGAAAATCGCGTTTTTGAGTCAAGAATTCGAGGTTTCGGTGAGTAGGACGGTGAAGGAGGAGTTTATGAGCGCGTTTAAGGAGGAAATGGAGGTAGCTGTGAGGTTGGAGAAGGTGCAGAAGGCAATAGAAGGCTCCACGGAAGATTTGGAGTTGATGGGGAGGCTTTTGGATGAGTTTGATTTGCTTCAGAGGCGAGCAACTGCTGTAAATTTGGATGAGGTGGACGTGAAGATCAATAAGTTGATGCCGGAACTAGGGTTTGCACCAGAAGATTCTGATAGACTGGTGGCGTCATTTAGTAGTGGTTGGCAGATGAGAATGTCCCTTGGGAAGATTTTACTTCAGGTAACACCACGTCTTATTTGATAGTTTGGTTCAGAAATTTGATGGACAAATTTAATTTAGAAACTTTGCCTTTGTATGCATCCCTGATGTTGCCAATGAAATGGTGTGATAGTAAATCTTTTACTGCTATTTTGAAAAAGATATCGATACACTAAATTTCCTGATAATTAAATTCTATTTCATTAACTTTGTATTATATAAATTTTTCTTTTTTATTGTGGACTTAATCTCCGGAATTGACAAGAAATAACCTTTTTCATCACTGGTATTTGTCATTATAGACCAAAATCATCCATTTCTTGAAGTAAATAATATAATGCGTCCGTGCTCTCTAACATGGTGTTGCATGCAGCACATGTGAACCGTAGAACGTATTAAAAGTTGTATTGGTTGATTGTATTTATGAAAAATAATGTAATTTCTCTATGACTGATTGCTGATATATGTGATTACCTGCAGGACCCAGATTTGCTATTATTAGATGAACCGACAAATCACCTTGATCTTGATACCATTGAGTGGCTTGAAGGTTATCTTAATAAGGTCAATGTGCCAATGGTCATCATATCTCATGACAGGGCTTTCCTTGACCAGCTGTGCACAAAAATTGTTGAAACTGACATGGGTGTATCCAGGACATACATGGGCAATTATTCTGAGTATATTATTGCAAAGGCAGCATGGATTGAAGCTCAAAATGCAGCATGGGAGAAGCAGCAGAAGGAAATTGAGCACACACAAGACTTAATACACAGGTTAAGTGCAGGGGCAAATGCTGGCCGTGCATCTACTGCTGAAAAGGTATACTGAAATCTCTATCTTATTGAGTAATATAATTGATACATCTATATCATCTCAGGAGGACAGTAAGTGCATCGTCGTGGTAAATCTTCAAATTTGAGTTGTAATTTGTGGCCTAATAAACTTGGATAAATTTGTTTTAGGTTACTTGCTAAATTTGTGGCTTAATTCTTAAAAGTTACAGTAAGATTGGAACAGTGTGGTATATTTTCTGCTGCTTGTGGTGTTCTGTAAGCTTAACTAATCAAATAATGCTTTGTTTCGTTTTGTGGGGCCGCTCAGGTAGCATTATTTCTTATGAAGTTAGGGATGTTTGCTCAGTATCTTGATATATTTTCTACGGTGTTCTTAATTATGTCTTCAGAAAGTCTAAAACCTGCCAATTATCTCTTAAAATCAGTTGAGACAGATGAATTTAAGTAAGTTGGCGATATGTGAATCTGGGTCCATGTGGTAATTGTGCTGCATTGATGCTTTTGTTTTTATTCTCTTCTGGGCTTGATTTTGGTTGTGATGACCTGTGCTTCAGTGAGCATATCATATGTTCCCTAAGATCAGGGTCTCAACGTGGCATTCTAGTTGCTTCATAACTTTAGCAAGCTTCCTAATATCTTTACAGTTGCAATTGCATTGGAGAGCTGACTTACATGACTGTTGCTCCTAAGGCCCTGGTTTCTTTACCGTTTTACTCAAATTAATTGTTGAGAAAATAACCGTTTGCTGAACTTTATTGATTGTGATTAATTCTTTGGACATTGTTAATTGATGTAATTCAGAAACTGGTGAGAGGTAGTCCAATTAAATATCTTTCTAACTTGATTCTGTAATTATTTTGTATTCCACCTATATTCTATTATGTGGTTATGTGATTCTTCTTAAATTTATGTTTTGGTTTGATGTTCTGTTGCTTTTATTATTACTTATCTGTTTAATTTTTTTATTATAACAGAAGCTCGAAAAACTTAAGGAAGAGGAACAAATTGATAAGCCTTTTATAAGGAAACAAATGAAGATCAGATTTCCTGAGCGTGGAAGAAGTGGAAGATCTGTTGCAACAATAAAGAATCTGGAATTTGGATATGGGGAAAAGGTAATTGGTATAATCTGCCTGACCAACGAAAGAAGGCTGGCAGCTTGAGCTTTCTGTTAGTTATTGGGTACACAATTTAATTGTTGCTTATCAGAAGACCTTTGATGTTTGCCAGGTTCTGTTTAAAAAGGCAAATGTTACAATTGAAAAGGGTGAGAAAATTGCAATTATCGGCCCCAATGGGTGTGGTAAGAGTACTTTGCTTAAACTGATAATGGGCCTACAGAAGCCAATAGCAGGAGAAGTGCTGCTTGGGGAGCATAATGTCCTACCAAACTATTTTGAGCAGAATCAGGTATGTCACTACCATCGCTAGGTGTACTTATTTCGTTTGATTTTGTGGTCATGGTGATTTTAGTTGTTTTTGACTTTTTGCTGGGGTGGGTTCTACTCAATATAAGTGAATTCTGTTTCTGTATGAGATTAATGTTTTCCATTTTTCAGGCTGAGGCGCTTGATTTGAATAAAACAGTCCTTCAGACTGTAGCAGAAGTTGCAGAGGACTGGAGAATTGATGATATAAAGGGACTCCTTGGTCGTTGTAATTTCAAGGCTGATATGCTTGATAGGAAGGTTTCCCTCCTCAGTGGTGGTGAGAAGGTAAGTACTTCATCCTTGTTAAAAATACTTATTTTATACCTCCATGATCACTGATAATTTTGTTTCTAAATTTATGTTCTTAACTTTTTATTTAATGCTAATTCTAAGGTTTTCTTTCACATATAATTTTATATTTCTCCTTCTGATTGAACTTTAATTTGCTTTGGTTATCCAACTTCTTATTTGTGTTCTGGGCGTTTATTGGCTTTATTCGAAGCCACTACCATGGCATCTTGGGAGGCTATTTAGTTGATAGCTTGCAGGACTAACGTATTACAAAAACTCAGCAGGCAACTATTTGGGTTAGGGCATGAAATGGATCCCATCTAAAGTGAATCCATGTGAATTTGAGTCCAGATCATTTTTATTTATATATTTTTAATGCAATGATCTGGATCCAAATCCGAGTTGGATACTATAAACATACTCTGAATCCGACCTAATATATTCCACGTATAATCCAAGGAAGTCTTAATATACTAAAATGAGCTTGTTTATAGGATCTCATGTTAAAACCAATCCATTTCATGCCCACTCTCAGATGGATCACAGTTCAACCCAACCCATGTGATGCCCTAATTTTGATGAAGGTTCTACGATTCCGACTGCCACTGCGTGATTGAAGCCTTTGCTTGTTTTGGATTTAAATATATAGGCTTATAGCCGTAAGCTACCCTTGTTATGCCAGACTGGAATTTTAATAAATTTCAGATCCGTCATATGGAGCCATATGGATATGGACAGTTCATCTTGGTTGAAGATGCCTGTGCAGAGAACTCAATGTTTACATTTGAAGAAATGAATAATGAAGTACTTGGATTAAACAGTGGAGTTGAATATTTATACATTGATATAGGCGCATTAACAAATTTACCAGTAGTATGGAAATAAGGATTGAGTTTATGAACTATTATCATGCCTTGGGATGAAATTTTCCCTCCTCGTTGTTGGGAACTAATTTTATCCTTCATTGGTGTAGTCTTTTACTCTCCTGTTGTGTTTATTGAGCAGCATGACTACTAAGTTTTTTTTTGTCCTATTGTAAAACTGATGTTGGATTTAAAGAAAGATGTATATATGTTGCTGTCAAATAGGTTGTACATTTTCTATAAAATGGAGAAAAGTACATCGAGTTTTTGTTAGATCTGCAAGGGGCCACTCTTGCTGACCTAATATTGCAGACTAAATATCTGATTCTTGCCTGGTGTAGGGTTTTCACTAAAAACATGGTTCATTTAAAATAGTGTTTTGAACTTAAGTGGCAACTCCCGTATAATTTTGAACATATTTTCTTTTTTTTTTCAAAGAAGAAAAAAATAATTCTTTCAGCCTTGGGTTAGGCTTGCGGATGGTTCTTGCCATGTGTTTGTAATTCTAATTTGTTCTTATCGTGCCTATTCTATTTGTCTTTTCCTTGTTACGAGGAATGAATATTGATTCTTGTTTGACTGTTGTGTTTAGGCACGGCTCGCCTTTTGCAAGTTCATGGTGACACCATCAACATTGCTAGTTTTGGATGAACCAACAAATCACTTGGATATACCTTCTAAGGAGATGCTTGAGGTTTGTTTTGTAATATATATATATATATATATATATATATATATATATATTGCATTATAATGTTTTTCTATCATTTATATTATACCAAAAAGCTTCAATATCCGTTATGATTCTTTGAAACCTTTTTGTTCCATCAGGAGGCAATAACAGAGTACAAGGGCACTGTCATTACCGTATCTCATGACCGATACTTCATAAGGCAAATAGTTAACAGAGTGTTGGAAGTTAAGGATGGCAATTTACAAGACTACGCCGGCGATTACAATGTAAGTGTGAATTCTCATCTGGTAATTACTTATGGTATATCTTGCCTTATTTGACGTACTTTTTTTTTAGTTTCGATTTCTAAATATATATATATATATATATATATAGTTAGTTAGTTAGTTTCCTCCTGTCAAAATTGGTTGAGGGGTTGGGAATTTTTGGTTTGTTGGGTGCATGGATCTGCGTTTTTCTTCCCTTTCTCTTCTGTCATAATAGCAGTGCATGGGCAATGGATGTAAGAGCCACTGCTTGATGAGTTTGGAATGACAGACGTGAGAACACTGGTTTTGAGTCTGAGGGCACTTTTTGAAAGAGCAAGTCTATCAAGACGAGTCATAAAAGGTTAGTTGTGTACTGAGTCATTCCGTCCAATACCCAACATTGGTATGCTCAACATTATAATGACTTTTATGGCAATGGATGGTCAAGTAGTAGTTTAAGGGGGACGGCTCCTCGTTGCAAACTGACCTATCAGACAGTTTCAGTTTGTAATAGTCTGGGCTATGTATTGTTTTAGACAATGACCGATGCTTAGAAAGAAACCATGGTTTCCTGTGTGCTTAAACCAGATACATGCTGTATATTCAGCTATAACTCGTGCAAGACACGATTAACCTGAACTTATCAGATAGCCAATGCCCTATGTCATACTCAGATCTATAGATTTCTGGGGCATCCTTCTTCTTCCTCCTCCTCCTCCTCTTCTTCTTCTTATTTTATTTTTTTGTTATTATTAGTTTTCTCCTTTCTTTCTTTCTCTGGGTGGAAGTTCTCATTCATAATCCTAATTATCATGATGAAGTTACCATAAAACAATCTGAGTTGGAAGTTCTCTGTTTTCATGCCTTCATTATTTCGAATGACTACAATCAAGTTGGGTGTACAAATTTATCCGAGTACTTAATATAGAAGCTGCTTATGTAAATTGTTTTTTTATTTGAGAATACATCCCCCTGAATAATGCATTAACTCGTCTTATGCCTGTTGAGTGGTGGGAACTCAACTTCCTCGTATATCCTTCATTTTTGGAACAAGTGAAAATCAAGAGTGTCTTCCAACCAAACTTCTGTGTACCACAATACCTAATTCATGAGTTCATTAGCAGTTTCTGATCATTTGAAAATCATAATTCACAGTATTATTTGGAGAAGAACCTTGATGCAAGGCAGCGAGAGCTTGAACGCGAGGCAGAACTTGAGGAAAAGGCTCCTAAAGTAAAAGCCAAATCCAAAATGTCAAAGGTAAAACTAACGTCAACTTTTTTTTTTTTGGGTAATTAAGATTTCATTAGCTCAAACTTAGTATGTACAAAAGTGGGAGAGAGGCATTCCCCTCTGTACGGTATAGCATCTTCAAGGAGAAAATTAACGATGTAGTTTTTCACATCATGAAAGGGAATATAAAAAATGGTGTATGGATTGCTAGTCTGATGTTCAATTTGTTAATTATCCCATGGAGTGGTGATCTGAGCAAATGCTTTGTATAACTATCAGGCTGAGAAGGAAGCACGGAAGAAACAGAAAATGCAGGCATTTCAGCAGGCAAAAGCAAAATCGAAGGGGCTGAAGAATGCTAAGAGATGGAACTGAGTCCTGCTTTTTATGTTTTAGTTGAAGTCATTTTTTAAGTAATGTTAAGGGAGGTGATGAGTCCTAGTGTGAGCTACCGTATCGATGTGTATATAACATGTGTAGAAATAGGTTAGTAAATTCAGAAATCAAGGGTAGATTGCAACACTGGATTATTTTGGAGCTGTATTATTGCCATTGCCGGATGGGCTGCTCACTGTACCAAGGTAGTTTCGAAGAACATTATGTAATTGACAACGCCTGTTGCGAAATGAAGATTCACCCATTCTTATATATTCATGGCTGCTTGAAATTTGGCCTTTTTCTGCTATAATAAGAACTTCAAATTTGTGTTATTTAGGTTTGTCATGAGTGATGTCCTCTTTCCAGCAATTTCTGTGAGAGAGAGGCTACATCATAACTTGACATAATTGAGATGAGAAAGGTTTGAAAAGGAAAAGCCTCTCTACATATAAGGGTACGACGGTGTACATTTGATTTTTGTAAGACCATGTGATGGCGGGAGTTTCATGCACTCGTCTAGCTATTTTTTTATTTATTTAATTGATGTTATAGTCTTAAAATGAGCAGAGTGATAGAATAAGACTTGTATAACCAATCTTTTGTTGACTTGGGTGGAGTTGGAGATGGTACAAGAAGGGAAAGCTGGTGTCACTGTAGTCAGTTCACAATCTATTATTGTATCTATTATTGTTTAATTTTGATGTCGGGCACTTGAATTTGTGTTTGATTACAAATCTACAAAAGCATCTAGCTTAATGGTAATCTTTTCATTCTCAAAGAGGAGGGAAGGGGTTCTATGATGACCTATATGGGTGGATGTGATGTGGATGGGTGTGAATAGGCACTGGGTAAGTTACCACACTGGGTGAGTTATATGTTGCACAATCTCACATCATCTGAGTAAGAGGAAAATGAAGTGTGTATATGTGGTGGTGTTATCTATAAATGATACGAGGTCTTTTGGAGTAAAACTCAAGAATAAAATCGTGCGGGTTCGGATTTAAAACAGACAATATCATATCATGCGGTGAAATGGACACGTTGAAACTGCACATTAAAACAGACAATATCTTACTATGTGCTTTATTAATTCTGAATTTGTTTAAAAGATTTATGTGAACATTAACTAGAAAAATCAATACTGAGTATAAAATTTACCACCTATATATGTCATTATTTCGAAAATACTTTATAAATTCTGAATTTGTTTAAAAGATTTATGTGAACGTTAACTAGAAAAATCAATACTGAGTATAAAATTTACCACCTATATATGTCATTATTTCAAAAAGAAAAAGAACAGGACATCCTCTTATTATCTCAAAATCTCTGCATTGTCAAAACTCTTACATATTTAAAACTTTTTGGGCACCTTGAAACGTGGTAGTCGCTGTTTTTGACCAAGGAAGATGTCATTGTGAAAACCTCAAAGAGCACAAGTCAACTTTGCATTTGTATTTAGTGACATCACTATATCAAAAAAGAAAAAAAGGGAAAAGAAATAAAAAGTTATGTTAGATTTGTCTCCCTTATCTTTGAATTTGATCTCAATATAATGTCTACATCTATTCAGCGCTAGACCATAAAATTAAGTGGAATATTCCTTGGTTACTATTCCAAAAGGTGTTTCTAGGAAGCTTGAAAAACACAAATGTTGAATGCTGAATAATGCAAGCTACTCCACCATGGATTCATTCTCCTTGTTTGGTGGCTTCTTGAATAGTTAATGGCGGCATTAGAAACTCAATGCTGATACACACACACACACACACACACACACACGCACGCACACAGTGTATAAAATGAAATGCTGATGGATTGGAGAAAATGATTTTTTGGCCAAGACCTGGTTATTGGACTTGCCATGGTACATTCTTAATGACTCTTCTTCTAATCCATCTTCTTATATTTTACTGTTGTTGTGCTATAGAATTTTGCAGTGCCATAGAAAAAATTACATCAATTCAGCCCATCAATGACCCTGAAACTATAGTCTCCAATGGTGACACCTTCAAACTAGGATTTTTTAGCCCGGTTAATTCAACTAACCGGTACGTTGGTATCTGGTATAACGACCTCTCTGCTGCTGCTGTGGTCTGGGTAGCAAATAGAGATAAACCTCTTAATGATTCTTCCGGGACTGTGACTATATCCGAAGATGGCAACCTCGTAGTCATGGATGGACAGAAACAGATTGTTGGGTCATTAAATGTGCCACATTCTTCAGCAAATTCAAGTGCCCAGCTTTTGGATTCCGGGAACCTTGTATTGCGAGATAGTTTTGGTCAAAGCAGCATAATATGGGAGAGTTTCGAAGACCCTTCTGATTCAATCTTGCAGAAGATGAAAATTAGTACCAATAAATATACTGGTGAGAGGACTCTGCTCACCTCGTGGAAAACGTCTTCTGATCCATCTACCGGGAGTTTCACTTATGGAATGAATCCCTTAGATATTCCGGAACTATATGTATGGAATGGTAGTCATACGTACTGGTGTAGTGGTCCATGGAATGGACAGATTTTTATCTGAGTACCAAACATGGTTGCATTTAACACACTTGATGTTATAGATGATAAAGAAGGAACTGTGTATATAACTTACATGTCGTCTACGAATCCATTTGAGTTGTACTATTTCTTGAATTCTGATGGAATTATTGTGCGGAAGTACTTTGATGTTAGAAAGGAGAATTGGGAAGGTATGTTGTTGGCTCCACCAAACGAATGTGAAATTTATGGTAAATGTGGTCCCTTCGGAAGCTGCAGTATGTAGGATTCGCCAACGTGCACCTGTTTACAAGGGTTTGGTCTGAAGGATTCCGAGGAATGGAGTAGAGAAAATTGGACCAGTGGATGCGTAAAGACGAGACATTTGCAGCGTGAGAGAAATGAAACTAGTGGTGAAAAAGGCAAAGAAGATGGGTTTTTGAAGCTGAAGACAGTGAAAGTGCCGGTCTTTGCTGAGTTGTCATCAGCATTGGAGGATAGCTGCAGAAATGAGTGCTTGAATAATTGCTCCTGTATAGCTTATGCCTATTATAGTGGCATTGGTTGTATGCAATGGAGTGGAAACTTGATCGATGTACAGAAATTCTCCTGTGGTGGGGCTGATCTTTATATTCGTGTGGCATATTCGAAGATTGGTAATATGTTGACTCTTCTTTATGATCTTGTTATTTAATATGTGCTTCAAATAATCCGATTTTGCTTCTATTGTTTTATTTACTTGTTGAAATTCATTATTTAGTTTTGAAATCTTTTGATATATTTCAACAGCATTAGTATATAGTTAATTCCAATTCAAATTTAATTGAACTCAAATCACTCAAAGTTTGTTATGCTTCACAGATAAAAAGAGAAACATCAAAGTAACTAATCACAATTGCAGTGATCATCGGGTCAGTGGCAATTTCAATGATCTGCATCTATTTTTCTTTGGAGGTGGATGGCTAAATCACTAGGTATATACAAATTACAATTAGCTCAATAGAGAAAATATTTCCTGTTATTCTATAAATCAACTAAGACCTGAACTTTGATTCAGGAAGGAAGACGAAAAGTGAGAAGTCATTATTTGGAAGACAGGAAGTGAATGCAGATTCAACTGAAAGCACGTTTGGAGGTAATCTAGGCCAAGTTAAACTTGAAGACCTACCTCTTTTCAGTTTTGAGGAATTGGCAATAGCAACAGATGACTTTCATGAGGCCAATAAGCTCGGGCAGGGTGGTTTTGGTTTTGTGTCCAAGGTAATGCTTGTTCATCCATTGCTTTGTGCTCTACCCGGAGGGTAAAAAAAAAAAATTTCATCTTTATTTCCAGGGAAAATTGCCGAGTGGACAAGAGATAGCTGTCAAAAGGCTCTCAAAATTCTCTGGACAAGGCATGGAGGAGTTTATGAATGAGGTTGTGATTTCTCAGCTGCAGCATCATAATCTTGTTAGACTTCTTGGCTGCTGTGCAAAAGGAGAAGAAAAGATGCTGCTCTATGAATACATGCCAAATAAAAGCTTGGATGTGTTTCTCTTTGGTTAGTTCATGAATGCCTTAACACCATGTCTTTTCTTTTTTGGTCTTTGGGAACAACTTTAACCTACTTGTGTTTCTTTTCTTCAAAATTTCTTTAGATCCAATCAAGCAAAAACTCCTAGATCGGAGAAAACGTGCCAACATTATTGAAGGGATTGGTCGAGGCCTACTTTACCTTCAAAGGGATAGATTAAGGATTATTCATAGAGATCTAAAGACGAGCAATGTTCTCTTGGATCAAAATCTAAATCCAAAAATTTCAGATTTCGGCATGGCAAAGATTTTCGGAGGCAACCAAGACCAAGCCAACACTAGAAGGGTAGTTGGACCATAGTAAGTAGCTTTTGCTTTGTTCAAAATGATTAATCATTCATGTCTTAGTCCTTCTTTCTCATAGCCGGAATATAATTTTAATATTTGGGCTTCAATGACACAATGCAGCGGCTATATGGCCCCTGAATATGCAATACAAGGGAGATTCTCGGAAAAATCTGATGTCTTTAGCTTTAGAGTATTATTGTTAGAGATTTTAAGTGGGAGGAAGAACACTAGTTTTAATCATGATGACCATTATTTAAGCCTTCTAGGATTGGTAAGTTCACTTAAATTATTGCCTCAGTTACTCCATATAGTTCCTTTTAATCTTTCTAAGTCCAACATTTCATAGTCGTGTTACTGTGTACAGGCATGGAAGTTGTGGAATGAAGATATGATTGTAATGCTGACAGATTCGGCAATTTCTGATCCACGCTTTCAAGTGGAGATCTCGAGATACATACATGTAGGACTGTTGTGTGTGGAAGAATTCGCCACTAATCGGCCAACTATTTCTACTGTTCTTTCGATGCTTAGTAGTGAGATTGTGGATCTTCCAACTCCGAAGTAACCTGCTTTTACTGAAACACAAGGTCTCTCAAATATACCGTCTTCTCAACAGAGCCAAAGGACATGTTCTGTGAACAATGTAACTGTTACAACCATTGATGGTCGTTAGCAAGCAAATTCTTCTGATTTTCAAGTACACTGTAATTGAATATACGATATATAGTTTTGTTTTACACAATGTATTTATCTAACTCTATTCAAAAGTCGGTTTTTGCCTTTATCCTTCCACATTATATAGGAGTTCAAGTTTGCTCTATCAAATCACTGGCCGAACACAAAAATATACACACACACACACACACACTCAAGAAAACTATAGTATGTTTATGTGTAAGTATGTTTGCCTTGCTATTTGTATTTTTTTAAGATCATAATAATTGTATTTAAATAAGTTTGAGAACAAGAAAGGCTTGAGAGGTGGATTCATTTTACGAAGTTATACAAAACTAGCAGCTCGAGAGTAGTCAATTCAAGAGAGAGGGCTTTCATTTAAATCTTATTTATAACAAAAATAGGAATTATTTGATCTCCTAAGCAATAATGGCTTTCACCTGGTGGAAGAGAGAGAGCTCTTAATTAAAATGGTATTTGCAGACTCAAGAGAGAATTTTTCAAGAACATGCAGTACCTGTTTATATAATGTTTTCCATTTACAAACTAAAGCAAAACTAGTTATGTGATGTAAGAACCATTGTAATACAATTGGCAACTTAGCTGTTGCATTCTGCAACTACAAATAATTGATAGTGTTCTGCAATTCTTTTCTATCAATTACTTGTGATGATAATACCCCATTTGTAAGCACTAAAAACTAAGCATCAATGCTAGCCGTACACTTGTATAGCTAATAATCTAACTCTTCTCTGAAAAACTACTCTTTATGCAGTTTCTACTAAAGCTTACTTTTTGCAAGTAACAACCAACTCAAGCTGGCCCCTTCATTATTTCCTCCGTCCCATAAAAACCTTTTTTATTTTTTATTATCCCAATTCAAAATTTAATATTCTATTTTTTTAATACTTTGAATTTACCCTCGTCTTAAATTTATAAAAAATACGTGTGATGATGCAGCAGCAACTTGGAACGGTCTCGTATCTGAAAGAAAAAGGAAGCAAGGTAACCGAAGGGGCATCGGTGTGGTACCGGCCGAAGAGCCTTCGACGATCAAGTTAGTACTAGATCGGAATATCAAAAGACTCTTGATAGAGATTTATGTCATACCTTAATTATTGATTCACGAGAACCCTCTTTATAGGGGTTGTAAGTAGAATTCAAGTAAGGCATTTACTCTGTTTCTTTTCTAACACGGTTAGGAGAAGTATTTATATTATCCTTATCACATTAGTTGATCGTAGTTCATTTATTTCTAATTCCGTGTCGTTTGAACTTTTCTAAAGACTCCTCATCAGTTGGCCCCCGTTCCCAAACTTGATTGTCATGTGCAGGGAACGCAAAGTTGTTGTCTTTCCAACTAATGTTGCAGAAATTCGCAGTGACCTGGAAGACGTCGTATTTTTTTTTTTTAAAAAAGGAAGGAAGGTAATCGAAGGGGCACCAGCGTGGTACTGGCCGAAGAGCCTCCGACGATCAAGTTAGTACTAGATCGGAGTATCAAAAGACTCTTGATAGAGATTTGTGTCATGCCTTTTCGATTCACAGGAACCCTCTTTATAGGGGTGTAGACACTAAAATTTAGTGGGCTTTAGTTTTAACAAATGGACCCATTAAATATGAGTCTAATGTTTAATTAAGTTATTTAATTGATCTTGGCTTGGTCCACTTAAATTATTTAATTAGTCCATGTGATACCCCTCGGATCCGAGACACGGGTTGATCAGGCCCAGGCCCAAACCCGAGGGAATATCAAACAATTAAAGTATTTTAAATGAACACAGATTACAAAAAAAATGATTTAAGAAATAAAAGAATAAGCGGAAAGATACTATAAAAGATATCCTCAATATAAAAACCTTAAAATATTAATAACTTAAAATCCTACAATCCAAAATCTCCAATCTTTTAACAACTTGGGAATCCATCTCTAGTGGACCCCTAAAATAAAAATCCCAAACTGAATCAAAGTAAAACTGAAGATAAAATCCAAGTCGAACATCTGGAAAGAGATCCTACATCGTCGGAAGAATGAGTGACCGTCTCTGCTCCACACGAACAAGCTCAAGCCTAGAACTGACGTACACCTGTAAAATAGGAGTGGGTCAGGCCCACGAACAAGTTCTATCCTACTGCAATCCAAGCAGAGACCCGATACGCATGTACATACTAAACAGTTCAACAATAGCTAATAGTCCGTACATAAATATATATCCACACTACTGGACTCTCGCTAGACCATGAAGAGGGTCTCAACCTGAATAGAAGGCATCACACAAATCGCACCTGAGTGGGTATGAGTACCTAAGCCTAAACAGGGTATACCTCAATCCCCACAGTCAGCTACACATCCAACTGCATATACGCATCCTAACCGTTGATTCTGAGACTCAAGCTCATGTCACGGTACCATAAAATATATTTAAACTCCAATTCCATCCATCCACAAGAAATCCATTAAGTCGTTCGGCGTAGTCAACCGCACCGACTTACATACATATAAGGAGGATTTATTTAATAACCCGTACCTTCATTCCAAATAGGTAGAACTTAGCAACTTGTGCTGTCCAAACCTAGTATGTCACCGTCCCATACCGGTACATACAATCCAATCCATCCAACAGTTGATACCATACATAAACAATGCACATAGCAACTGAACCGTAATAAGCATAAATAGAGATATAGACTAGCATGCCTACTCCGGTAATTGACAAACCAAAACCATAAGACATATCAATTAATACCATGATGAACATAAAATAAATATATAAGTTATCATATTCATCCCATATCTCCATTATAAATTATAATATTACTGAGCATGCAGATAATTCATCCTTCTCGTCCACAAATCCATGACAAGTACAATAACCTTAACTATATTAATTACCATGCTTGTCACTATTAATAGCATCATATTAATCCATTTTCCATCCACAGAGAATATAAATTAAATTCAGTAGAAGTATAATTCCTCTGCACTACAATGAACAACTTTCGTCGATGCTTACTAATGTCTAAGCTATAAACACCAACTGGTTTATTAAACTTTAATCCACTCTCACAAGTGTTAATTAGACTTAGAACATCTCAAAACACCCAAGTATAGCTTCCTACAGCTTCTGAAAAATCCAAAATCCGAGTTCCGTAGCCAAACAAGTCACAGAATACGTCACACTAGAAGTTCGGGAAAGAGCCTGCTCTTTCAAATGAAAGAGCCTGCTCTTTCTTTGCTTGGAGCCTGCTCTTTGGTTGCAAAGAGCCTGCTCTTTTTGCTTCTATGAGCCGTCTCTTTGAAAACTTAAGCCGTTTCTTCTCTGTTCTTCTGTTTCCAACTCCGGTGAGTTTCTGTTAAACTGTGTTTCAATCCTAAGAGTCTTAGATGTTTAAATTAGATTCCAACTAATTCCAGAGTCCACTAAATTCATTCCCCAGTTACCAAAATTAATTAAAACATAAACTTTGCACAAGAATTTAATACTAGCAGTTTATGTAATCCCAAACTCCAACTGTTTTAACACATCAACCTTGTAACTAAAAATTAATTCCATTGATTTCCAACATGATATAGAATTAATTAAAAAATCATTACTCATCAATTTCATTGAACTAAAATAAAAATTTAACATAATGAAGAAATTATAACATGAAAATACATTCAGGACCAAACAAAATGGAGTGTAGGAAAACTAGTAAAAATCATGGTGCAACCTTTAATACCTTGGAACTTAATCCCACTCTAGACCCTTGTTAAACCATTCATTACAGTAACCATTCCATTTAGATAACTTAGAAAATCAATCTCCATAAAGCCATCTCACTGAAAACTGGAACAAAACCTCACGGAACGTGGAAAACTGGAGATAACCAAATGGAGCAGGCTCTGGAAAACCTTGGAGCCGCCTCCATGGCCTTGGAGCTGGCTCCCAAGTGTCTTGGAGCCGCCTCCAAGCATGTAGAGCCGGCTCCAAACCCTAAAGGAGCCGGCTCTCCCCCTCCTTTGCTCTGTGTTCTCTTTTCCGGCTACGTTTAAACCCTTCTACAGATCACCGTTTTGATTACCAGAAATTTCTAAGTAATTCCCCGTAAATTCTAATGTTGGTTTAAGCCTTGATTATACTTACTAATATGGATTTAACCAAGCACAATGCAAGATCAGTTCCAAGCTTTAACAGTTTATCAAACCAAACCTAGGACTAACAGTTTGCGTCCTAGTAACAGATAGCCTATCTATTTTTGTTTTAAAATCATATAATAAACCTGGAACCAATTTAATATGCAAAGAACACGAGTATAAGGGAGAGAGTAAGGTTAGAACTTGCCTTTGAGATATTTGTTCAAAATCTTTACACCGTCTCTAAAGCTTTCCGACGATTCCCACTGCAAAACTACTCTATTGCTTCTCTATCTCTAGAGACATGAATAGGGTTTTGTTTGTTTTTCTAAAAACCCTATACAGACATCTCACATATATTTATAGGGTTTTACTAAACCCTAGATTAATTCCAACCCTCCTAAAAATCCTTACCGACCCAAAGAAACCTAATAAAACCTACGTCGGCAACAACTGACTTTTAAAACAAAACCCTATTTAAAAATACAATTAAATTAAAATAATTACCACTTAAATTAAATTAATCAAACCATTTTATTAAATTAGATTAAATCAATTAAACAGTTAAATTAAATCAAATAAAGCATTTAATCCTAATTAAAAAAAATAACTAAATGCAATCAAAATACAACCATGAAAACAATTAAACTAAAACAAGGCATAAACATAAAACCCAATAAACTCATAATGAAATTTAAATAAATTTTCAATTAAAACAAACCAATTCATAATTAAATAAATAAAAATATAATTTAAACAATAAAATAAATTCCAAACCTATCCTTTTTAAATTAGGGGTATTACAGTCCAGCCTAGATGATTAAATAAAAAGATAATTAAACCTAATAAAATATATTTGGAATAATTAATTTTAAGGATAATTATCATAATATAACCGGCCCGGCCTAGTTATGATTTTTTTTCTTTATCCTGAGATGACACGTGTCATCATCCTATTAATCCAAGAAACTTATAAATAGAGGCCTGGAGGAAGAAGAAAGGGGTAC